CGCTGATTCCGATTTATACAGGCAGAGTGAGACCGTTCAGCCCCGGTTAAGAGGATTTATTGTCATGTTTCAGAGTATCTTTCTGTGTACTGGGCTGGCACTTGCCGGGTGGCTGGAATACGGGCTCGCGTTCACAGAGGGATCGGTGACCTGGAGACTTCCTCTTGCATTTCCTTGTTTTCTCTGTCTAGTATCCCTATGCTGGGCTCCCGTGTGGCCGGATTCAGTACGTTAAACTCCCACTATTACGTTATACGTGAATGCTAATAGGGCAGCCACGTTGGTTGATCAAAAAGGGTCGCATTGACGACGCTCGCAATGTCCTTGCTATGCTCCGCGATGAATCCGTCGACAGCCCCGGTATCGTTCACCAAATCGAAGAAATCGAAACATCGCTTCAGGAAACCGGACAGGGCTCCTTTAAGGATATCTTTCGGAACGGACCGGCACGATTCGCCAACCGGGCGTTCATCGCTGTCTCATTGCAGATGGGGCAACAGATCTGCGGGGCCAATGCGATAACTTTCTACCAATCGACTATATTCGAGACTTATCTTGGTATGGACGGGACTCTATCGTTGCTTATGTCCGCGGTTCTTTTCACATGGTGTGCCCCTCCTTCATTATCGCTCCTCATTGTGAAAATAGTGCTAAGGTAACAGGAAAATGCTGATTGCCCCCATCGGCACCCTGACTATCGACAAGGCTGGACGACGCAAATTGCTACTTATCGCTTTTGGTGGGATGGGCATATGCATGGCCGTGATGGCAGGGTGCATCTCCCAGCCATCCAATACAGCCGCCGTTCATACCGCGGTTGCATTCATTTTCCTTTACGTGTTCTTTTACGTTAATGGGTGCATTGGTTTAACGTATCTCTACTGCTCCGAGATCGCACCACTGGCTGTTCGGACACAGATTACCGGCATGTCGACGGCGTCGTCGTGGACATTTAACTTCCTGGTTGTTGAGGTCACGCCTACTGGGTTCAGCTCCTTGGGCTGGAAGTATTTTATCGTTTATGCAGCCATCAATTTGGTCTTGCTTGTGCCGAGTATGTTCTTGTCTTCATCTTTCATTTGCCTTGGTCATGTGATGCTGATGTCAATAGTGGTGTACTTTTTCTTTCCCGAGACGAAGAGTCTGCACCTAGAGGCCATTGACAATATCTTCCTTGATAGTAAAAACATATTCCAGCCGGTTCCTGCGGCTAGAGATATGAGGAAGCATGGTCGACTGCAGGGTGCGCATGGGGGCTTGCAGGTTGAGGAGAAGGCGACAGAGGAGCATATGGAGGTTGTCTAGGAATATTAGAGAGCTGCCAGATATGGAGTCACGTACGACGGTTTAAAGTTGGTAGCTAGGCCGAAAGAGAACAGGACTTAGGATAACTGGGAATAGAGGAGTAAACGGTGTAAATAGGATAGAAAGCGGTAGCAGACAATAGATAAGGAGAGCTAGATGGGAAGATTCAGGGTACCTGCTTAACGATAATCAATTAGATGTTCCTTTTTGGCCACTATCAGCGCCAGCAGATGCAAGGTGGGTGGGAAGTACCACCTCCTTTGTCCGCCAAATTTTCATATTGCCTCTCTGCCTTTTCCGTGATGACTCCATCAAACTCTACGACTCACAAGGCTTTGCGTTACTCCTCTAGAACGATAGAATTATTTGCAACCGGAAATAATTCGTTGATATCCAGTCGGATTGTTCATTGTAGCCCTACATCCTCGGGCACCTGTGCTGCCCCCGCGATCATATTGCCACTGCTTTCCAAACATGGGCTTATTGAGAATATCGATAGGTGCTAGAGTAGCATACAATCGAGTACTTCCCTGTCCTGATCCTCGATCCCTTGACACATAAAACTACAAGGCATCTCACATCGCCTGCCATCCATATTATGTCCCCCTTTTACAGCTAATATGTACTAAGCCTTTAGCTACGAGCCCAGGCAGATCTACTTTGGAGGCGACCGATATTTATCCGCACGCGGATTCATTGTTGGCGGAAAACGGCGGATGTGCTATTCGACAGTATCCGAGTCATCCGAAGGAGTTTAAAGACTTTGACGACGGATACTATGTTATCCGTGACTGAGCATATATCGTTGGAAATGAGAAGCCGTTCGTATTAAATGTATATCTACTGAATTTGTTAGTATGGCTGGTTACGCGCCTGAATTGAAATCACAGTGCGGAACATGCCAAGTTGGGAAAAGAAAAGGTACAGACAGTACGTATAGATAATATGGCAATTTACTGTGATTAAAGAGTAGCGTGCCGCTATTGTAGCTATGTCGGTATATCAAGGAATTGCAAGCTGCTACGGAGTAATATTTGCTTATTCGATCAATTCTAGGTTTTGATATCCATGATGCTACGTCTGCCTGTGGAACCAAGGAAGTTTGCCAGACCTCTTTACGGGAATCAGGATGGATTTAGGTTGGAATGGTCCGAGAAAGGAGAGATGTATCGGCATAGCCTTATGTTATGCATACAGCTCGACGCAGTACCATTTCTTTTATGAATCTTAATCTGACTTATTTTCGTGTTACTAAAGATAATCCCAATTATCAGAGCACGTGCGACAAGCATCGTCGCAGAAACTACCAACAATGTCATGTTCCGGTTAGATATTTTACCGTATTATTCCTGGTGAGCACATCCAAGACTACCCACAAAGCACCTCGGACAGACGAGAAATCCCTTATCATCTTGCCATCAGATACTACATCCCTCTCGACCGCCCTGAACCAGTCTCGCAAAATGCTATGGCTATTATTGGCCTCCAGGGCACTCTGGGACGACATCTACACCAAGTTGAAGCAAGGAGGGATTCCTCTGTCGGACACATCCAACCAGGGCGCAGGCGGGATACTTAATGAACACATTAAGGATGATCGAAGTAGGTCAACAGCGAACGAAAATAACTTAGACCATTTACGAAATGGGATACAGTAGAGCTACCTTATGACTCGTGACATGTCTAAATAGGTTCGGCCATTCTCGGAATTTCCTTTGATGGTCAACAATTTCCGTGATCAGATCGCTGGGCCGATCATTGATATTGCACATAACATGGGTGCGCATAACGGTATATTTCGCCACTGTCCCGCAACAAAGCCCCAAGATTCATGGGGCATTTCTACGCCGAACCTTAGACCCTAGAATCTGGAATGACTCTTGTATCTGAATCTCCATGCTCTTTCAGATAGACGTGCGTTCGAGGAAACCCTGGGCGTCACCCAATCTCCATGCAAGCTATCAGGGCGCCCTTCAGCGTGTAGATATTTTCAACACCTGGGAAAGCCTATCACTCCTATTAATCGGACCACCGCTCTCTCATCTCTGGAGTGATAGTAGGAACTGTATATACAAACTCTACCTCCAGCCAACAATCCCAGTCCTAATTAACCTAATCTAAGGATACATCTAATCTGGCTTTGACGTTCTTTTAATACATAAAAGATAAAATATAATGCCCCCAAAAATTATTTAATATATTACAGGAAAATCATCTTATCAACAGTTAAACCGAGTATTTTCAAAATTAATAAATACCATCCGAGGCTGGCTATCCACTGCAGATCTGATAAGAATATTCTATAACTCCAGATTAATAAGCTAGATGTTCTTTTCATAGACACGGCTTTTAAAATCAACAATTATTTTTCATAATATATTAACAGACAGATTAAGAGAACAATGCTGGTTTAGCATCTGCTATAATAATTCTCTAAATATATTTAATAAGAACTATTCTAACTGCCCGTTTACATGTTAAATTAATAAATAAATCTAAGAAGTATAATCCAAAATATTTCAGGATACTATAACCTTAGAACTCGGCAAGGACTTCATACACATTAACTTTATAGGTATAGTATTTATTTATATGAAGAAATAGATTAAGATAATCTTTATCATCATCAGAATAAAGCGGGTTATATATCTTTGTAACAAATTCTGTACCATTCTTTAGAAGTAATTAGGAGGTTAAAATAATTAACCAGATAGTAAATACTTGTGAGTTATAGCTATCACCTTCTTCTAGAAGCTTAAAAACTTACAGGCTAATGGTATTGTTCTCTTTACTCCCGGGTAACCGGGATTACTGAAGATATCTTTTAACTGGACTTATTTATTTTCTTTTTACCCTGTCACTTTCGCTACTCGTGCAACAATCTCCGGTAACTAGTGTTAGTACTGAGATACTATAAGACTCTACAGTGAACCTCCATCCAGTAGTGTATGGCACCAGAGGCTTGGGGAGCTCTGTGGATGGGGTATCAAACAAAGGTAAATTTTGCTGAAGGAAGATCCTGACCGCAAGGAGAGTGTGCTGCAGTAAAGCTAGCCTTTACACATGGCTAGTAGCCTAGCGAGAAACCAGGTGTTCAGCCCCTTCTATTAGCGGCGCAACTATTTTCCAACTCCGGAGGTTCCGTGCCATCCATTGAACCAGCCATTTGCCAAAAACCGGCCACCATAACCTGAGCAAATGACGTTCAATTCTTTACGAAGCGGATTGTGCATAGAGTTAAGCTCTTTACTAGTCAGGGACTGTTGAATCGCCAAGAGATCACATCTCCTGTTCCACTGTCAAGCCCAAGATCTCACCACAGTACTTGTGATATATATCTACGTACTCCTAAGCGGAGTGGACCGTTGCGGAGTGAGCGAACAATACTATGTACATGGGGACAAAAGAATCATTGTGCGAGTCCAAGCACTCCAGAAATAGCGAATCCCCGAAGATAAGTACTATCCCCGAAGCCGGAGTTCAACATTCAGATTAGACAGCCGAACCAGAAAACCAACGTAGGGGAATCGCTATGACCTATGCCACGAACAGGCCCACGGGAATAATATTTTAGATATCAGCGTGACCCGGAGAGCTGTAAAATATTGAAGGGATGTCTAATGAGCTAAAGAAAAGGTATCTTAGGACTTATATTCGACAAGATCAGATAGAATTGACCACACAAGACCTATCCTTTACATAGTCGCTAAGGGAAAGCTTCGGACTAGCAATGGGAACTCCTTCCACTTCTTACTCCGATTCCTATCCGATTGCAGCGGCCATAACTCTTCCAGGACCTCCTTGACTTCTCTGGGGATCTGTATGGGTCCGGAATAGCCAATCTCGTCCTCGCGCCACAATTGCCATGCGACTCGACCGATTTCTTTGACGTCCACCAGCACCTCCTCATTGAGATAGAAGTCTTTTCGGGTGACAAGAAATGATCTCCCGAGCTGCCGAATAACATGTTCCAGTTCTCGTCTGAAAAGGTCCGCTCCCACAAGATTCACGCGAATGTATTTGATCTTGCGTGTCTCCTGATGAAAGAAGACAAGATTAAAAATCTCGGTGACGAGACTTTCGTCAACAGCGGAATTGATCAGAATTTCGCGGAGGCTGGAAGGACTCGGTACTTCGTCCTCACGTGGTGTACGCCGAGGGTCGCAGTCAAGATCGAGGTGAACGGTATGAATGCGCAAAAGCTGCCCGAGAGCCTTGTAGATCTCGCACTCCTGAGCACTACCCCGAGAACGTTGTAGTGGCATGCGAAGCTCTTGGAGTCGCGGGCATAACCTGGCTATTGACCGAATGTGTTCGCCGTTGGAGATAGGGTATTTGGGTCCATCGTGAGGTGTTCGTCTCTGCTCCTCAGAAGTTTCAAGGCTCAGGCCCTCCAAGTTGTGATGGTAAGAGAGAATGCGGTCTAAAGAGGAAAAGTTCCATAATCCCCGCAGACACAAAAATCGTAGCGACCTGAATGTTTGCACCGCAGAAATCATTTCTTCATTGTCCGATGCGGCATCTACTGAATTATCTTCCGTATAGGACGTGCGTGGCTTATTCCAGGGAACCATACCGACGTACAGACGTTCCAAATGAACCAAGATCGAGGCCACTTTACCTAACATAGCCGGTTCGGAATGGACTCCCAGATCAAGGGATCGCAGTCTAGACAGATCGATCATTGTTGAGATATTGAAAAGGATGCTCTCATGTGGTTGTTGAGGGTCGCCGTTGATGAACGTCAAGGAATCTATGCACACGACAGGAGAAGAAGGCTTCACCTTAGAAGTAAACTCCTGCCACTCCTTTTTAACCTTCCTAATTGGGTTATCATGCCGGCCGTGCATATCATCAAGGAGCAAATGCTTAAGATTTGGGGCCATAAAGACGAAGGAAAGAGGTTCGTCGATATGTATCCACCCCTGATGTGGGTCCCGGTTCACCGTATAGACTGCGTTGAGGGTATGAAGTGCGGGAGAACGCAGAATGTCAAGGTCAAAAGGCTGTTTAAACTCCTTACCAACGCAACGGTGGGAACGTCCTAGACCAGGTAGATCAAGGGTTGGAGACTGGGGAGTCCAGACATTCAATCGGCAGGCTGGGTGTGACCGTTGAAGGGCCTGGAGAAGGCAAGTAGGAAACATATTGCGCACGGCGTAGCTCAGTAGCTGAAGATGCTGTAATCGCGAAAGGAGGCTCAATATTGGCTCCCAGTCGTCTTGCCTATAATAAGCAAGGGTTGAGGTAAGGAAAAAGAGTGAAGAGTCACAAATCTGGAATAATGAGTCCTGAAGAAGTGTGTCTGTAGAGGGCAAAGGATTAAAGATAACGAATTCATTTGCCCAATTCTTTTGCTGCCAAAGCTGCTTGGCTGTTTTGGTCTCAAGCCCTGGCTTCTTGAGACAGACAAGTTCAAGGGTTCGCGCATACCGTAAGTACTGACGACCGAGGCCATCTGTGTGAAGCTCAGAAATGGCATTGAGAAGCTGTGTGCGGTCGCAGAATGCAATGCGAAGATACCTGTAAAGTTCTGTAGCTGCAAGATCATGCCAATCTTGGCATGTCCGACTTAGAGCGGCCAAATCATGCCATGAGTAATCGACGACCTGTTATTCTCTGAGTTTATGTCTGCGTAGTTGTTATCATCCCATCCATGCACCTACAAACAGGCAAATAAGCCGTTGGACTTCCACGGGTAGGCAATCTAGGGTGGGCATGATGTTTGGCAAAGTGACTGAAAAGATGGCAGTGAGACCACGGCGTTTAGAGAAAAATGGTTGTGCAGTAGTAAGCAGGGGTACACACAGTGAACCACGGTTTTGGATGCTGCTAGCCAAGACCCTCAGGAAGACTATTAAAGTTGCCCCCACCGACTAAAAGTTGGCTCGCTACTTCTCCGAGACATCCCGGATCGTTAAAAGGAGATGAGAAGCTCCAATTTTTCTGCACAAAATATGAATTTGGTCTCCACCACGGTGAATCTTCCGGACCCGGTAGGGGCTGTACCACTGAAAATTCGTTTGAAGATCATTATATCGATCTTCAAAAAGATTTAGAGCATAGCCGTTGAATTAGTATGCATATCTGACTTCTCACCGATCCATATGTTTCCTGCTTTCATGTTCAGATACTATTGGTGAAGTATCCACTGTCTTGCTGTGCCCCTTCGTCATCAATAGCAATACATGATTCCTAGAGAAACAAGGAGTATAGCATCCTTAGAAAAGTGACTTTATTCGCACTTCCAGCCATGATTTACTGGATTGGTTATTGAACGGGTGGCTATCAATTAGTCAGGAGATAATTAATTTACGATGTGTGATGACTATTATGATAGGGAATAGCAAAATTGATTACATTGATCTAAGGAGTACAATTTGGGGTGGTGAACGGGGTTTCTGCCGCTTTCATGCCTCTGCAGCACCTCAACTACTGCTTGCTGATTCAATCTAGCAGCCAGCTCAATAGCTGTAAGTCCTCTACTGTCTCTCACATCCTGGTCGGCTCCTTTGCTAAGGAGGTAGCGTACCACATCCACTCTTCCGAGCTCAGATGCCCGGTGCAGAGGTGTTCCTAGTGACATAAAACACAAAACCGAGAAGGTTGGGAGGTCCTCGTGCACAGGAGTGTTCAAAGGCGCTCCCCTTTCAATTAACATTTCCAACACTTCAATAGTGTCAGCATCGCGTTGAACAGCATGATGAAGCAGCTGGCCTGGCTGGATATTCTGGCAATAATCCAACATTAGGCGGATAGTGGAAATGGGGGCTCTTTCAACAGCCCACGAAAGCGGGGAGACGTCTATAAATGTACGTTTATTGGGATCGGCACCATGATCCAAAAGCCAAGATACCATCTCTTCGTTTTCTATGGCAATTCTAGGAGGGATTAATAGGGCGTTAAATCGCGGAATATGGAGTATGGACTCACCCTAGGATGGGGGGTTGGGTCTCGCACATTGGCTCGTTGATATCCAAACCTTTTTCAATAAGAAAAGCGAGCGCATTCTTGGATCTGCACCTAGTTGCGCTCCGTGCGTAGATTGAATGTGTGGGAAAACCATGATCCATGAGCGCCCGCATGAAATCCACATTGTCTTGTTCCACAGCCTGCCCCATGATAATACCAAAGTCATCTATATGGAAGTTCTCCGACGACGATTGCGCCGAGTCGAGGAGGTCGCAAAATTGTTGGATATCCCCATTGAGGCATAGTTCTCTTGCTCTCAGAAGGATGTCCCGAGAGGTCCGGCCCGGAACTTGATAAATCTCACCCCAGATGGAAGGCGAGGGCGAACTTGAAGCAGGTTGTACGTTCATAACTGTTCGAGGTTGTCAAAGACTCTGTGAGGAATATATTTCTGGTGCAGTCGTAAGTAGTTGGAGCTTAGCTCGGATGGCTGGCGCGCACGGTGCATTTGAATTAATGGTGAGTCACTATACCGAAAGGTGACACAATAGCCGCTGATGTACATCTGCTCACGTGGCCGGCGCTGTATATATAGATTATTCGCGATTTTCCGAGCGCACAGGGGACATGCGATCCAACTTGCAATCCGCGTCGGAGTATGCCTGGCTAAGAATGTAGAAGTTCCACATTGATTGGTCCTACTTCAAGAACACAAGGCATATCCCGGTCATATAGCGTTCTTAGCACTGCGAGAGAGTATAAGTAGCTGGATTCATAGGTGCTTTTTGGGGAGGGAGTAGTTGTATATTAAGATACCAAAAGTCTCAATTGGTCCCTTAAGCAGAATATTGAAAATGTCGCAATTAGCCGTTGGGTGCGTGCTCACCCGGCAAATGTGGTTGTTGTGCCGATGAATGCTCTCAGAGTGGTATCACTACATGAAATGTTTGCTATCGGCACAGAAGGGCTTGGAGCATGCTCTACCATTGTGATAGCATCGTCCCGTGGTGCTATTCTTGCTCATATTCCGCCTCGCCCGACAGTATCAGCATCTGACCCATATGCCGGGGACAACAATGTTCGTTGGTTGATGACAGAAGTGACCGCCTTATACATGCGTTACCGCGATGAATAGTTTTCCAGCCATACAGACACACTTATTGTATGTGTTCTGTATCAGGGTGCGATAGCCCTACCTGACCAAGCGCAAATTATGCATTCAGCACTTAGTCGCTTAGGGCCGAGTGTGTGTATTTATGATGTACCCGGAAACTACACCAACCCGGGACAAGGAACTGTGCTCGCTATCGGTAACCGCGGGCTCACCTCCCTTGGACTCCCCAATGAAGGTCGCGCTCGTATTTACGTTGAGGACCAGCAATATGTTCCGCGGCCGCCGTCCTGATATGGTATGCTGGAATTGTCTTCCCATGGTGATAGAGTATCCCGGCCTTTGCAATCCGACCATAATGGCAGTTTGTGACATCATAAGGATATTCCTATCTCTCTCACTATAGTTCCATGCACATACCGCGAAAAAAACACATAGGATTCAAAAGTATTGTATAGCCTAATGTTGTTAGGAGTTATATTAAAGTAGCGTGAAGAGAGGTGGAGTGTATGCTCCCCTCGTCCTGAAGTGTTTACTGTAATAGTATGGCTAACAGCCAGTAAATCTATAGTTGCTCATCACCCAATGCCAAAGTGGTACACGCCCTACTCTTTCGTTGCGAGAATTAGAAGTACCCGGAACAGGAAACACAGTAGCTAGTATCACTATTTCCTCCGTATAAGAGGAAGAGGGGATGTGGGATTGGATGACAAAAAATGTCTATCGGAATCACAAACCTGCCCGCCGATTGAAGACTTAGCAACCAGAACAACCCCCAATTATGAAAAATTCACTCATGACACCTCCAATGTTACTCCCGATCAGCGGCCCAAACAAATATTATTCAATAACAGACAGGCCTAGTTCTGCACATAAGTATGTATAGTGCATGCATAGTATATATCAATTAAGAGGTAGAGCGTTCCCCAAAATAGAGGCACAGCTCCGATCGAGACTGTGTTATCACTAATAGCCGCAACGCTGGTACGGCTTCACCCATGTTCCAGTCTGTCACCATTTTACCACTTAGCTACCATGAAACCAGACATAAACGTCTCCCAACGACACGTAGATTCCGATGGGAATCTGCATACGATGAGAGAGATGATGATCTATAATACATGGCGACATTAGCGAATATTTTCTAGAAAGTGCTAGTATTATATATGCAGGATGTGGGCATTGTCATAACTTATAGGGAGGGGTCGTGTATTTTAAAGTATTGTGACGGGAGATACCCCTTTAAGGACTAAGCAGAGACATTCAGTTTTCTCGGGAAAGCCAGTAGAGGCTACCTTACTATGGTGTGCACCGAGCTTAGCAGACCAGAGTGGTGCATACCAAGGCATTTAAAAAGTATGCCTTGCATACCACATATCCGACGCCAACATATAACCGAACAACTCCTGGACACCCCCAGTTGTAAATGCATAGCAATATGGCTCTCCATGAGTAAGACGGCTTGGTGTTGTAAACCTTATGCAAAGGGAGCAAGGAATACTCGTATTCGAAGTCACTACGGAAGTCTAGACTTCTGAGACTTTGTGGCGTATTTGTCATCTCGGATAAAATGACGCGATCAAATCAACTCTGACTTGAATTAATTATTCAAAGAGTTCCTCCCGCACATACCTTTCCTCTCATAGTGCCTTCTAAGGATGCAAACTTATAGTAACCTGAAATTAGTACGAGAAAATCTGAGTCAACTGAGACATAAAGAGGATGGCCATCCCCGCCCTTCAAGGCTGGCACCCCGGCGAAGTCGCCATCCAAGGCCAACTGGGCTACGCGACCGCCGTATCATCTCATTGGACTGCGGTCGAAAACCAACTTCGTGAACAACATCAAATATTCCACACCTCGAATTTGCCGTTCATTCCACTCACGACTACCGATGCTGATGGACGGCCCTGGGGTGGAATAGTTGCAGGATCGACGGGAACTGTCGGATTCGTGGACAGTCCAAATTTAAAGTCGTTAGTTTTCCGACCACGATTATGGGAGGGCGATCCAATATTACCGACCCTTCAGGGGTGGAGATCAGTGAAAGATATCACCAATCACCAAATGGAAGGCCGAAGATCAGAAGAGAGGTCACTGACGGCTGGGTTGGGTATCGAATTCCCAACGCGCAGAAGGAATAAGTTTGCGGGGAAAATTCAGATGGTAAAGGCGATGTCGCACTACGATTATATATTCGAAGTTGAGATTACTGAAGCGTTGGGGTAAGAGTCTCATTCCAGCATGGTCAATGCCAGAACTACCGGTACTAAGGGTAATCACAGCAATTGTCCAAAGTATATAAATGTGCGTCAACTTGACCCATTCCCGTGGGCGAAACCACACCTCGTTTACCAATCACTCCACATGGCACCGACGGAGAAGCTACCCCCTGAAGTGATTGATATGATAGAATCCGCCGACACGGTCTTTGTGGCAACAATCCACAGACCTGACCCTACCTCCGCAGCCATGTTTCCCTCACACGCGGGCATGAACTCTCGTGGCGGCTTTCCAGGGTTTCTACGGGTGAGGCCGTCTGACCGACGAAGCGTTGTCCTGCCTGATTATTCTGGAAACAGATTCATGAATAGTCTTGGCAATATCGAGTCAAGCGGGTTGGCAGGCTTTACGATCATTTCGTTCACAACCGGCGACATCTTGTACTTGACCGGTACAGCAAGAAATTACGTTGGGCCATCTGCTCTCGAGATCATGTCTAGACATGCAACAATTACCGTTCTTAGCACTACGGGATTTACTCTGGTTCGGAATGCGCTTCCCGTGAGACAGCGCAAAGGGTCGGAAGTTGGACGGAGCCCCTACACTCCGAAAGTTAAGTATCTGGTCGAAGAAGGGCAAGCGGATGCTGGCGGGGCACAAGGCCACAAGGCCATGCTCGAAAAGGGAATGCAAATGTCTGATGACCTGGCTATCTTCAGGTTTGAGGTAATTTCGAAGGGGGACGTTCAGCCGTTAAGGATCCGACCTGGTCAAGCTATAGTGCTAGACTTTATGGATTGGATAGGTCCACCACCGTACCAGCATATGGCAGATTCAGCACCCGGGTCGATAAACGATGATCGTGTGCGAACATGGACAGTATCTAGCGCACACGAAGATACTGATGTCGCATGGTTTGAGATAACAATGCGGGAGATGAAGGGTGGCGTCGTGACAAAAGCCTTGTTCGATGTGCTCAGGCTTTCGCCGCCAAATAGATGGGATCATCCTATTTTTCTGGAGGGGGATGTCGTTACAGAAATTGTAGGCGTTACTGGGGAATTTACCTTGAATAAACGAGAGGTCAATCTGCTGCTAGTTGCAGGAGGGATCGGGATTACGCCATTCCTGGCCATGCTCAGTGCAATGAGTACGCGCGAGGACACCCCACAAGGAGACATTGTGCTCGTGCTATCAACAAGAGAGCCAGAAGTTATGCTTACCCTCATTGAAATGGCTTTGCTTAAGGTTCCATCAGCCGTCAAGGTAAAAGTAGATCTGTTCACCAGCTGCTCTGTCAACTTAAAAACCCGAATATTAAACCATCAAAGTACGAGCATCTCAATCCATGAAGGTCGCATTGGGCCAGAGTATTGGCAGACGAGCACCAGAGACAAAGATGTGTTCATATGCGGACCCAAGGCCTTTGCAGATGCTGCTGTGGATGGATTGCGGTCTATTGGTGTGCCAAATGAGAGAATCCAGCGGGAGGGATTTTACTAGGTTTGATGAAACGTATCGTCCAAATGTGGAGAATCGGATCTGTTGATTCAACACGGAGTTAGCTCGGCTAATGGCCGTTTAAACGAGCCTGAAAACAATGTATCGTGTCTGGTCAGACCTAATAAAATATCAGGGGCTCATAGTATGTAATAAACTTGTCCCTCAAGGTATGATTGCCCTGGAGTTTTATTCAGGATATGTCCGACAGGGATTCGAGCGTAGTAGATATGGCCAAGCTCGTCGGGAACACCCAGGCTCGCCGAGCCTCCCTTCAGGTCAGACAAACGGTCCTTCGTGATCCTGTACACTGATCACCTGGCTCTCCCTGTGAGTTGAATGTGCCGCGTCTCTCCTGTCAATCAGCGTAAGAAAGGCAATGTTTGCAGTTGGCTGGCTCTATGACCCACCTACTTTCATATTTGCTTGCATTTTAGATAAGTCAGGCAAGGATTCAGTTGCCCGGACCTCTCTATTCAAGACCTTTCTTGAGCAGCGGTATGAAACTGGTCACTGACTTCATGGTTTCACACCAGCAATGGCTTTGGTCTGTACCTCAACCTGGTTTGCCAACTGTATTCAAATATGGGGTACATGCTGCGGAGGAAATATTCTAATATATCACTTCTTCCTGCGCCCCCCTCCCCCCGGCAATCAGTTAATTACTGCCCAACTATCGTTATATATGAATAGAATAGGTGGTTTATTACGTGAAATAGTATTATCTGACCGTAGTTGAACGAAATGGTTTGACACATAAGTGCAGTTAGGCAATGGGGCTTGGAAAATGGTGGCTGGGGATATAGCATATACAATATATTTAGTATACAAAGGTTCCGCCGAGCACAGGAAACTCTGGTCAACCTCTGACCTGAAAAGCTCTTTCCCACATCTTACTAATATACAGGGAGTTCAAATGCATCCAGATCCCACTCCCATGTCTTTAGAGACGGCTGATCATACTCACACTCCATGCTAGTCCCATTATTGTACCACATCGGCCGCAGGGGCCACGCGCAAATTTCCTGGGTCTCTCCTTCGAATGTGCCACTCAGGACGGTCCCATTCAACCTCACAGGCACCACCTCTTGCTCCACCCACTCGATCAATGTTTGGAGGGAAGTCTGCGGGAATGGGCCGTTTGGCTGTAGATCATTGTTCAAGCAGTGTGAGGCTCCTGGAACGAGGAACAAACGGTACCACTGGCCCAAGGCCTCGTAACTTGCATTGTACCCGAGAGTAGGATACATTGTTCTACGTACAGAATCGTAGTAATGCACCGAGGAAGCTGTCGGGATGCTACCATCCTGTTCGCCGTGATAATGAAGCACCTTGCCACCCGCTTCGTAGAAGGGTGTCAAATCTGGCCACGTGGTGTGCAGGGAATCCTCATACATCTGCCATCCCAGCTCCACCCATTCTTTCAACGTGTCGTAGGTGACATTATCAAGTGTGGGAAGGTTATCAAGTTCCAAACGTTGGAGAAACTTGTGATATATTCTCCGCCCATGGAGTTGATGTTCAAACCCCAACTCCCTGAGGTTGTGTTGTACGTTGTTTGAGCATCCCAGAAAAGCGCCCCAGGCTGATAGGATAGATACACCTGCTTGCCATCACTGTCTTTCATGCCATGAAGAATTGTCTCGAACACTTCCACCGCCTGAGCAGAGATAGTCGAGTTTTGCACTGGGACGTCACCGTCTGCAGCGCAGTAATACCGCTTGCCAATAGCTTCGGTGAGGTTGAATTGCATCTTGCAGAGATCAGAGCGCGAGACGACTCCGTCCATACGCCCGTCCATGCCATCGCAGGCGGTGATCGTTTCATTAACGATGGCCTCGACCTCACATTGCGAGGGATAGTACCCAAGCGTCTTCTCCACAACATTTGCCCAAAGGTGCATCGTCATTTGGAAGGAGTACCGGATGGCCGGGGCGCCAATTACTGCGCCATCAAACTGGTCGCTGTAGCGCTGAACCTGGCTCCACCCTTCGCGGCCGCCCTCGGAGCAGCTCTGGTAGTAACTGTACAGCTTTTGGGCTTCCCCGTTGTCAGTCATGTTGAAGAAATTGCGTGTGAACTGCTTTCCAATTGTAGCGAGCTCGTGATGAGCTTGATAGCCGAACATATACAAGTTCTGCCAGTCTAACGTGCCGTTGGCTAGGAGCAGAATCTCATCAACCCCAACATCAAAGCCTCCAAACCCTCCATCTGTTGAACCGGAAACAGCCCCGTACATCACACCTCCAGGGAGCTGCTGTGTGCCTTGGTTGACATAGTAGTCTGCTCCGCCGGTGGAGAGATAGCGATTGGCAAATTTGTCCGGCGAGGGCATCCAGAAGCGCACCTGAACGGTGTCATCCCGGCCATTGTGGGAGTAGGCCAGGGTTATGTTGCAATAGTCGATTGTGGTAGCCGGATATACTGCAGAGCCGCTGGTAGAGAGGTTGTAGACAGGGTTGGCTGAAAGATTTGTGTGGCTAATAGTGATTCCAGGATACACAGTATCAGCAGGCAACTTAGATCGAATGTATGCAGGGGTGCACACATCGTCGAGAGTAGTGGCAGCCGTGACGGCCTGAACCAGTGTCGCCCCAAGGGCGATGACTAGTGGCAGAAAGACCATCTCAGTTGAAAGAACGAGGATATGTAGAATGGGCTGACGGCGGGCCACCGAAATGTGCAAGCTGTGGTATCAGTAATCAAGGCGAGAGTTGACTTGATTATATTGAAACCGGCCGTACTAGTAGCTTCAAGTCGCTCCTCAAAGCCACTTGGTTCCGACGTCGTCCATTTGGAGACAGGAAATCAGTACATTTTATACATGCTTCGGCATTTACGTCTGCATGTGCAGCTGATCTGGAGCCAATCTAATTCACGTCTTCTTCCATACTCTCGGAACCGGTTGGTGAGGACGCGTGGCTACTTCTGAAACCGCTTGCTATGTAGATATACAGTAATAAAGTGGGGCCTAGTGGAACCAGAGTGTCGATCCAGGTACCAAGCGGGCTTTTGTGATCTAAAAGCTTTCCCGCATCTCCGTATTCGTGGTGACTTTGCGGGGAGCCGGCTCGGAGATAACCTGATGTGGGCCGACGGAAGGACCATCCCGAATTCACCTTACACTTCGCGGTAGAACGAATTCTCGGGCAAAGTGGACAAAGAAGAAAGTATCTTTGATACTCATGATATCATGAGAGTTAACGTAAGCGGCAAGCGAGTCGGCCATCTCTGCTTGTAGTATATCAATCATACTAAATAGATTTTTATAATTTTTGTAAAGAATAGATAGTAAAATAGATAATACCATTTCTATAATACTAGAAATTCGTTATTATCTGTTGCCGCCTGAGGCAGACACTTGTGATCACGTCCCACGTGCTGCGTCCTCAGGCATCATTCGTCCATCACTGAATGTGTGCTTGGCTTCATTTTCTACTACTGTCTGCTACCCATTCATGATCTTCAAGCGGGAGGTAAAGAAGTACAAGAAGTAGACCGCATGAGCGAAGCATGGGCCATGGAGTAGCGGGCGTAGTGATCGATGAGCTTCTTGATGAAATGCTGCAAGACTGCCATAGAGTGTTTGTTAGCTGAACTACGGAATCACATTAGATATCTTGGTGCCCCTTCGACGACCGAAAAGTGCTTCGCTTCGAACATGTATGTTACGCTTGACTTGCGCATGTAACATCACTTCACGTTCGGCAAGTGACCCTTACCGTCTCTGCCATAGGCCTGTTCAGACCAAGCCGGAATCTATCCACCCGTGACATCTTGTCCAAGACTAGCGTGTCCACCCGCAAGACATTCTCGCGATAGAGGGTCTGGGATTTCCAATCATAAGAACAAAGCAGCGCTCGCTGCATACCACCCTCGCTGCCGCAAAGTAGCATTGCCACCGGCGGGCGGCGAGCCCGGAATAAGGTGACGGTCAAAGTATTCGTATCAACCAAGGTGAAGAGCTTGAGCTCTCCATACCGCGAGTTCTGCGCAGCGGACACAAACTGTGCGGTGGATTCTCTGCAAGTGGGATCTTTGCCCACGCACTCACCGTTGTGGGATACATGCAGCGAGAGATCGCTGGAATAGGGACTCCACTTCAAACGGCCGAGATTAATACCGAAGACCAGCTGCTCGATCTCACCAATCTCCATGTACCCCTCAAATCCAAACAGCCATGGCTGTGACGCCCATGTCTTCCCAACATAAAGAATGGATATTAGGTACGGAGACGCCAACATGACCAAAATGTACAGGCCTGTGAAGATCCACCCGATCACAGTGAATGCAAGGTAGGCGTCTGTTCCTGTTCTGGACCGGCTAATTGCTAGCGACATCACGCCTATAACAATCCAACCAGGAGTGCTGCGAAGAACAAATCTGGCCACCGAACGTTTTGCCGTCTTACGCATCAACATGTTGACCGGCTCCAAGGATGTCCAACGAATCGGAGCACCAAAGGCACCACTCATAATTACAGTGTCTTTGCCGCCGAAGCCGACAACTTGGCAAAGAGGTTCAATGTCCCAAAGATGACTGCCCCAGAAGTCGTTGATCTCATACCAAGGCTGGTCGATGTTTCGGGGTAGCATGCATATCAGCCTCTCGAGCACCCGATCGCTGTCGTTGGCCCAAGACAATCGACAAAAGGCTTCGAAGGCCGAGTCATTCGGGTTAACACTTGGACGACGTCGTAACAAGCCCATCAGGGCGTACGAAAGGTCTCCGTTATAGTACCTCGTAGTTTCACGGTTCGGAAAGCATTGTAAGGCGATGGAGACCAGCTCGAGAGGGCTGAGTATAATTGAACCTTCATAATGATCAATAAGCTCTCTTGAGACAGTGGTGTCTCCCCAGGCTTCAATTGCGAAGTTCCGCTTCGACAGAACCCGGAAGGAATTTGGGGGGCAATCACGCTTGTATATGGAGATCGGTTGGCCCGATGGGCTTAAAAGGACCTCAGGAAAGGTCCACAGTCGACTTCCCAGATGACGAAGCATTTCGCCTTCCTCTCGGCTGAGACCTGGAGAGGGACCAATAGTTACCACCAAGGCTTGGGCACCCCGCACGACGTCGCTGATCCGGTAGACGTCTTCAAATTGGTCGTGATCATCAGGCATGCAGCTGCACGCGATCCAGTAAGCCGCAACCCCTGCCGTCCGGGTAGCAGCTTTAGCAATGCGATGAAGTTCATCCATGTCTTCGTTCGACTCATGACTGTACTGCTCAGTGGTATAGCATATGAACAGATACTCGAGGCTGCCACACACTGTCTCCCATTCTTCGACGTTAACGATGTCAATACCCCCGTCGTCTTGAAGCAAGCACAGCCGTCTCGGACGTAGAGGCCGCTTTGATATCCCGTTTGCAAATTGACGAGGGCCCGGCAGAGTGTTAATGCTCGATGGTTCGACCTCATGAAGATTGGTTGAAGCCGTTGAATAGCCCCAGTAGTGATACTTGAACTGTTCGTAATGGCCATTGTTTCTCAACTCTCCACCTAGATCTGTTGGCAGAAATAACTACATGATGTCAGCCATGCTTATGCACATGGAGCTAAAAGCTGTCTTACCAGACCAGCGATGGTCACACAGGACGGAAGCCACTCCAAGCACATGCTAACCCTTGACCACGCGTCCTGGTTACTCTGAAGGTGTCGTCCCAAAAGCGAGTACACAACTCGAAGTATCGTCGGGGTAGATTCCTCAATTCTCTTCCGAGCCCAGGTCGAGTTGGCGGGGCCATGGCATATAGCCTCGGACGCTTGAACTACCAGTTCTACTAGTCGCCCATCCGTAGCACTCAAGTAACGGTCGGTTTCACGACCTATCCACACGCGCCCTAAGCTGTCTTTGTGACGGTACTCCTCAACGGATCTGTATTTTCTTCCTGGCCGACAGGTCGCATGGTGTGTCTCCGAATAAGATCTGGGGTTCAGGTATATCTCATAATACCTAGGACTCTTTTGTATCAAGATCAGTATAATGCCCGCAATGGGCAGCGAGTAAACCGACCTTTGCGAGCGAGTCCGGCCTTTCGAAATCGGTAGCCATCCTTCCGCTCTACGTGTTGGGTAGTTAGTTCCCTTCTATATATTCATCAGAACGCCCGTAGTGAACCTTACTACCAAGGAGACTGTGCTGCTTCTACCTCGGTCGTGGTCATGGATATGGCCAAGTTCAAGATCAGACTGCATTTCTCTAGGAAGACTTGTCAATCAGGACGAGAGGACATGGGATAGGAGCCTTTCAAAAAGTAGTGTCAAAGCTTTCGAGAGGCAGAATGTTATGATCAACAGCTGTATGCCCGCAATTCAGCTGGACCATGGAGGCGACTTAGTCAGCCAGGACGCAAGGCTGAGAATCACCTCGTGACGGGTTCTCATTTGGGAGATGGTCAGAAATTAGTGCGTTCAATGGGATCAGAGAAATCAGGCTCACACTGAATGATCTTAATCATGAGTAATAATACTTAGTGTCAGACTACTGAGGCCCAATCCTTCATGTGCGGTTTTTAAACTAGAGCCAAATAATTTAAAGAACTTTCTAGGATTTCATATATATATATTGGTAAAGAGAGGGTTTTACATCACATGCAGAGCTGATTCAGTACTAGTAGTACCAGAAATAGTAACCAATCGCGTGTATTGTAAGATTCTACAGTGCCAGCCTGATTTCTCTGACTCTGACTAAACTATCTTTTTTGTTTCCCAGCCCCGGTCGGGCATGATCCCGTTCTACTACTTCCTGACCCCGCCGCGCGTGGGTGCCCCTTCATTGCTGTGTCTTGACCGCAAGGAGAACTCAAAATCAAGCAGTCAATATGTCATCTATTTTTCAAGATCAGTCGCTTCTGGATCCTTTCAAGCGCGAAGCTTTCGGCAAACCCACGCTTTTGAACCCCCGCACGTTCACAGTGGACGTACTAGATTCGGTCCAGGCGCCTGATGGTAACAGGGCTCGTCCCAGCTTTGCAATCAGCATATTGTAGCTAACACGACGCTCAGGTCGTTATCAATTAGTTCCGCGAAAGGTCCCCGTGCCTGAAATAGGGCAATTGCCTGTACCTGTACTTCGAATCATGTTGGTACGCCCACTAAGTGGGATCGCTTGCGACTAATATACTATAAAGCTTCTCGCCCCTGGATTTGCCAAGTAGCGCCACTGCTGAAGGACTTCTCTGGCTCTTTGATCACTATGCTGCGCCGTCTGCATTCCTTGCGGGCAGATTGCGGTCGGTAACACACTCGTTTGGGGCTTTGAATTCCATAAATGGTTATAATTGTATGTAAAGCACTATCTTCGATGTTTATTCCGATCAATAACTTGCACTTCATATTAAGGCTCCTGGTTCCACTATTTGTGTAAGAACATCACGGTGAGACATGATGCTCATGGCAACGCGCGGATATCCGATCCCAGGCCGGGAGCACCACAGCTGCAGCACGGCGACTCGACGTGGATACGGTCAGGGTATTTTTTGCGATGGGCAGCGGGTTCGAATTGTGGTCCAGAAGTGACGCTTCTCTGTTTCGAGGCGTCGAAATCTCTCAAAGAACGTCTAAAAGATATTTCACCATCGTCAATACCAATCAACGTCGTCCGTGACCCGTACAGCCTCTTTGCTATCATCTTCGAGGAGCTGTCTTTGCAAATGGACAATACGGTTTGGGATGTGATGGATGTGTTTCGCCAGATCGAACTGGTATTCCGTGCCTCTAGCCAAGTGTACCTGGGTAGTCGCTGATCTCCCTAGAACACCTTGACCACGATGAAGGATAGGGAGTCTTTCACTGGGCTACATAATGTTTCAAAGCATATCCTCTTTCTCCAAGAGAACGCCGAAGCTACAATGCTCACTCTGAAAAAGTTATCCTGGCACCATCAGCAAATCCTAGAGAACATCCCTGACGGGGACCGCCATGCCACTGAAATGGCACATGGAATGCTGACGCACGTGGAGACTCAGTTTCAGTCCATTGGTTTGCGTTTGAAGGGTCTTGAAAAACGGATGAACAATATCATTGCATTAGTATGCTCTGTCCTGTTCCATAAATACCGGCAAGGCGCATGGATACACTAAGACGTACTACGTACTTTAGTCCTTCCACCTCGTCACGCAAGACGGCAATAGAATTATGCAGGCAGATAGCAGTTCCATGGCCACCATTGCGTTCGTTACACTCGTATTTCTGCCAGTGTCGACAGTATCAGTGAGCTCTATCTATCCCATTTGTGGCTATGAAAACTTCTTGCTAACCCTCTAGACAATATTTGGAAATCAATTTTTCAATTTTGACCCTGTTACGATCCGTATATCACAAAGCTTCTGGATCTTCTGGGTAGTGTCTGTCCCGCTGACCCTCCTGGTTCTTCTCGTATGGCGTGTTATCACTAAGGGTTTCCCGCCCGGACTGTACGATGCTTTCAATATGAGAAGGGGGAGGTGGAGACTGTAATAGTCATATTGACCTGAAGGCTCTCTTAATCGAACTTCCAATGTATAGCAACGCAGTGAACCTCTAGATCAGAACACCAAGTCCATGATATCATTCTCTTTAATTACTGCAATGTTGTAAATCCAACTGCCACACCTTCACAATTCTGCCACATGTAAACCAAAAGGAAACAGACCAGATCGACTAGATAGCTTCTGCCTAGAGCATTTCCTCGTTAGAGCCCGTAAGTATGTGCGCCCGCTCATCGTTCGCAGAGGTTGGCCTTGGTAGGCCATAGATGCCTAAATGATGCACCTTCATACAACAATGGACAATGCCTATGGATTGCCCCGTTACGCAGATAGCTGACACTATCGTTTGAGACACTGATGTCTGAAAATGTATGATTTCGAACTCCATGCTTGTTCCCTGACTCATGATATCACCAACGAGAAAAGATAGACTGTGGGTAAAAAAGAAGAACCCCCCAACAGCGAGAGAGGGAACTCCATTCTATTTGTCCGTCAGCACCTCATCTATGTAACCAGCAAGCCATGGGGAGCAGCGCACCATAGAAGAACGTCGGGCATTGTTTAGATTCCGGATGATTGTGAATATCTTGAACATAATATGTAGAGAAGCGATCATAACGAGACCGTCGAAAGCAAGTTGGAGCCCGTAAGTCGTATGCTGATAGACTGAGCCGTATGCAAAATATGACAATAACCAGGTAATGAAATGTGGGATAGATATAATAACGAGGCTCACCAAAGTACTGCCGTGCATTTTTGATGGAAGAATCGTCTTTGTCTTATCGTTACGATTCTGCGCCTTATAGGCATGTATAAGCCGGTATAATACATTCAGAATAAGGATACTCTGCAAATATTTGCAGATCTGAGCAATGATTATCATGGCTTCATCGGTTTCTGGTGGTACGTCTCCCAGATTTCTGGATAGCGAATAAACAGCAAATGCTATATGTCTAGAATGGATTATCAGCCAAGGACATTCCTGACCGGTATACGAAATTCACCACGTAGGCCGATACATTGATTGACTTAGAAGGAGGATGAAGAGAGATTTAAACGGTATTGCTTTTGGATCATGCCTCGGCCGTCTTATTAGACACGAACCAAAGAGAGATCCCAGAGAAACAATTCCAGCTATTATAGAAAAAGCTAAAGAGACAATGATTCGCGTTTCATAGCTTGGCGCGACCATATTGTGTGGAATGCTGAGGTGACGAAGAAGTGCACGCTGTTTTATGGAGCTTTATGGAGAAGCAAATCGTTTAAGCTCTCAATTGAATTAATTTCAGAACGGGGAAATTCGACTGAATTTATTCTTTTCCCATGTCTCGGGGAAGAAAGACGCAAGGCTGGCATTGCTGCATCATGAATGGCTGGCCCGGCGTTAGCGTGAGGCTGATCTGACCAAGGTTGCCACTTTCAACAAGGCAGCCTCCACCCTCTGCCTCCTGATGCCTTAAGTTCTTGCCTCCCTGCTCCCTTTCTTTCTCTGTCTGTTCTCAGTTACGTCCTCCTCCCTCGGTTCCTGGATTATTGACACCGATCCCCACAACAAACCGTCTGCTCAAATATGATGGCTCCACACCAGGTAAGCCCGTCCTCCGCCTAATGTAACACAATTCCATATCTAAAAGACATCATGAGGGTCATCAGCCCAAGCGACACGGAGGAGGATACGTCCCAGTTGGCGCCAAATATCAGCCTCGGTATCAGTCCCGTACAGGGGAAAACACCGGCAATTCGAATGAACCGTCTCAGGATTTCGCCGTTTCTGAGAAACCTAGGACCTTTCCCATCCAGCGTGGTAGCCATGGAGGAAGCTATATTCCTGGAAGGGGTAAAGAGACCCCGTGAACTAGGCCATAGATCTACGAAAATCCCGCGGGGCAAAACACAAGTCAAGTATCGTTAGCTCTGCGAGACTACCCCGAAATACAAGTGGACATGGTTCAGATGGGATAGAATCCAAGCAGGATTTTCTTTTGCTTATTTTGAATATAACCCCATCTCCGCAATGCTCCGATATCGCGAACAGCCTCGGGCGATGCATTGTGGTTAACTTGTCGCTTGCCCTTCTTAATGTAATTTACCTAAATCTAAGCCATAGATTCCCTATTCAGCATTCCTGTATCTGGACCTCTAGCCTAGCCTAACCTCGAGTTACCGGTTCCTATCCTCAGGCTATCCTAACTCAGATTTATGATGAGATTCCCAGTTTCCCTATTTTAACTAGCAACTTTGGCGCGTTGATCCTCACATATAGCTGGATAGGATTCTAATGACTTGGAGTGGTAGATGAATACTCATGTTATTTAGGACACCCAAAACCGCGCTGCGGCATCCTTTCACTAACTTTGTTTAATTCAACCTGTATCTACACGCGATAATAGAGCTGAGTAGAGAGCCGTTGTTCAGGGAGTGCTTTCCGACACCATAGTGATGAAAATTACAAAGCGTAAGCATCAAACTTTAGGACATAAACTTGTTTAAAGCACCAACATCACAGCTTATCCGAATAAAGCCGGAGACCTTGCTTTCTTGCAGGCAAGGCTGCAGATTCGTTCCGGAGGTGGGCCAAACTCCAGAGACTGATTTAATAGTGATGCTATGCTATTCGCTCTTTACAAGTCAGGCGCACCTGGACACAGCATTTAGTATATATTAGCAGTACTCTGATTTGCGACACGCTTCGAATCATTACATATCTCCGTGTTTGCTTTTTATTTCAGGGATTGTAATTAGATAGCTTCCATGGTTTCTTCTTGACTGTACTACAGGCAAGGCTCTCAGTCTCCTCAATCATGTGGAGGCTCAAGCCTCGACCTCGCCCCTCAATGACCCATTAAGAGAAAAATACTTTAGTGCCTTAGTGATTGAGTGGCTGACCATGAGCAGATCTATCCTGTTGTATGCCCGTGCTCACCCGCTTTTTGTTTTTTTCTTTTTTCTTTGTTTGCTTTTTTCATTAGGTTCAATGCCCTCGCCGCTTTGACTCCACTCCTGCACCCTGTAATCTGTTGTGACACACTTACTCTAGCCAGGGTCAGCTGAGCATTTGCCTCCTCTTCTTCTTGCGTGGTCTCTGACCCGCCACCTCTTCCAACCAACCAACCAAACATCCTATTCCACTGGGGTTGGTGCATTGTATATGAGATTTCTTTAGGGTCTCTGTAATCTGTATGTGACTGATCTCTTAGAATAAGATATAATAATGTTAATTTGTAGAATATAAAATTTTTCTTAATTTTACAGCCAAATAACTTGAGTCTTGATAGATTATAAATATATCAATAGATTTTAAGAATCCTAAATTTTTAGATGATGAAATAGTTTTATATAGTATCAAAAATATATAATTTTATTGAATTTTGATAAAACTTTATTAAGGTTACCTAGTTGGGGATTCTTCAGAACAGGAACAGTTATATGAGACCCAATAAGTTTAAAACCAGTATTATTTAATAATACTTTATATATAAAATACAGTAATGTAGCTTTCATTCTTTTAATAAATGATTTTATAGATTTTTTTTCTTCAAAGATAATATTATTTATTCATAAATCTAATAAGATTAAAATCTATGATAGAAATCTATATTATGTTAATATTTTTTAAGGTTACTAAGTCTAATTGGACTTATTGAATATTATTAGAAAAAAAGCATAATAATGATCTATTCTTGTATTAAATAGTATAGTAGTAAATATTACAGCAATAATAGATAATATTGATTATTATATTGAGAATTTATAATTTCTGTCTTATAAAAAAGTTATCATTTTATGTTCTCAAAATTATATCACGGGTATTATTATATCATAAATCGTAAGAATTTTGTAATTTACACCCACTAGAAAGCTTAAATAATATATCAATATTATATAATATTATTTATATCAAGATACTGGCGGGCTAGGATAGTAGATAGATAATTTAAGCTAGTACTAATTATTTAATAAAATATCTAAAATCTAAATAACCAGCTACTAGTCAGGTTAAATATAAAGTATTAAGTATAATATAATTTAAAATTATAAATAAGATTTTAAAGGCAGGCTGATTTCAACTATGAGAAAAATTATATATTGTATTATTAGTTTTAGTAATAACTAAAAATCATATTACAAGTCTCCATGCTGTGAGAACCTAAAGACTACAATAACTAATCATGTCTGGATAATGTTTGTGTATTTATAAGAATTAATAGATCTAGAAAAGAAAGAAACACTATCTATTCCCTGGGAATTAAGCTATTCTATATATTCTTAAAATTTAATTCCTGCTCCGTATATTTCATTTTTATTATTATTTTCTTTATAAATTTCACATTGATTTCTGTCATTTGTTTTATTTCCTAGCTGGATCCTGCTTTATATTCTAAAAAATTCTATATTCTAATTATTTTTCAAACATCAATGTTAATTATTTTTTTTTAAGTTTTTTTAAATTTTTATAATTTCTATGAAATAATTATATAATAAGACATACAATAATTAAATATATATATTTAAATACAGCTGTTTCTAAGAAAAAGATTTTAATATATTATTTTATTATTACCAATTATTATTTTAGAATATAATTTTCATTAAGCTCATAGTCCACCATGAAAAAACTATTTTTTACAAAAAATCTTTAATTTGATAAGAATGTTTTTAAACTTCTTTATATTATTTTATCAATTATCTAGTATATCTGTTCTGGTTTATTTTATTTTATATTATAATTTCAAGCTATAGCCTATATATATAACTGGATAAAGGAATTTTAATCATATATTTAATTTTAATATCTATTTATAATTCTTACATATTAATTAAGTATAAATCTTAATAATAGCTAGTACTTTATTACTACTTATACACTATTAGATTTAAAATTTAGATTCATTTTGATTTTTTCAGAACATGATTTATATTATAAAGATCCATTTATAGAATTACTGAAAATAAATCAAGAATATTTCTAGAAAGTTAAAAATTCCTACAAGTTTAAGATTTATGAAAAATAAAAAAAAAATAAAACAACTCTAATAAGTTTTTCCTAAAAATCCAGAAAGTTATATATTCTACATAAATAAAAATTAAAGTTATAAATAATTCTATAAGCATATAATAATTCCATCGCGTGATATTTTTTAGATAGAATGATGATAAAATTAATTTAATACAAACTCATAAACAAAGCTTTCAATAATACCTAGTTCATTATAAATAATATTATATATAACTAGCTATCGTAGAACAAATCTGGGATAAATTAATTTTCACAATTATTATCAATACTTGCAGCCTTGGGTACGAAGGGATTATAAATAATTATGGAACTTTATATTTTTATATTTTTATAACATCTTTATTATGAGTTATAGAAAATCTATACTAATAGTAGTTCCGTTATAAGGTTTAGTTAGTATCTGTTATATAATCTATAGATTACCTGTGAATATTTCATTATTTTCTCATAGAGATAAGATAGTTGAGAATGATATTTTACGAAAATCTATCTATATACTTAAATTCATGAATAACAGAATACTCTTTATACTATTTCATTATATTTACTCTTATCATTATGAATATTTCCCTTTTAGAAAACAATATTATATAAAACTAATATATCATTTAGGTTTTCCAATATATGTAAGATTCTTAGAATTTATAGAATATTAATCTTCATAATATAACTCCGAATACATATGATTTAAAGGAAAAAATATATAAATCTGTAATATGAAGGATATCAAGCATTTGAAGTATATGAATAAATATTATCTATTCTTATAACAATATTTATACTTATAGAATTTAATAAAATAAAACTTGTTATTATAAGATCTTTCTTAATATCATCTAATAAATCTAAATCGGCTTGCTACTCATGGAAACACATCTTATATCAATTTTAAATTGTTATTATATACATTAATTAAATATAAAAGTAAATATTATTATGTTTATATACTTATACTTCCATATCATGATTAATTAAGAATATGGAGATTATATTACTGTACTTTATATATAAAGTATTATTGAATAAGACTAGTTCTGAATATATTAGATATTATTTGACTATTGTCCCATTATAAGGATTTCTGTATTAATGTCACATTGTTGCCGTCTACCCCTTTATGTATAGTCCCCTGCATATCTGGTGCCTTCATAGCTTAGCTTCTTTGGCGAAAATGGAAAAGAAACCATCACTACATTAATGAAAACCGCCCATTATCAATATCGAGCTTGGCGGAGATTTGCCTGGCTCTTTGCTCATAATCCTCCAGGGAACTCTCTTGCTCCATGCAGGCATGTACTTCAGGATCCTGATCGGGCGAGGAGTTCTCCAAACTCGCCATCTCCACCCCATTTTCGTCCACATGGCCATTCTGATCTTGCCAACGGTTCGCCATCAGCACCAGTGGTAGTGGGCTGGTCATCCAAGGCCGCGTTCCTGCTCTGTAACTCTTCCAGGCTGCCCCCACACAGGTCACTGCCCCGAGGAGCCACACAACCACCGGCAACGCTAGCCAGACCCATCGAATTTCAACAAATGAGACTGTGACGTGGGTGTGCCCGACAGCCGGCTGGGAGTGAACATCTGCCTCTTGGTCATAGCCAACCGCAGTGCTGAACGCGTCATCACGTATGGTCTTTGTCATCGCAGCCGCCACTTTGCCCATAGCGCAAGTGAGCGGGTCGTCAGCCGTGCAGCCGGCCTCCGTGAAGCTGCCGTAGAAAATTGCCTCGAGGGTATCAGCGGCCGCATAAGTGATCGCCGCGGGGACAAACTCGAAATTGTCTGACCCGGCTCTTACCTGCCCGGCGAAGACGTTATTGATATAATATGAAATGGCAGCCCAGACCTGCTCCCCTAATCCAAACGTCTGATTCAATTCCGGGAAGTACTGGCCTGTGTCGGAGGAAAGCAGAGGCGTGATGGTGATACCGGCCTGACCGGTTCCATTGGCGGTCCATTTGGCGATCTGGCTTTCTTGGTAGATGCTCAGTGAGACCGAGGCGTTAAACAGTTCTACGATGGGCACGAGAGTGCACTCGGTCGCTGTGAAGAGGCTGGTCTCGGTCAGAGTGGAGGAGAGGCCGCCGCCACCGGTGCCGTTGGCGTTGGTTCCCGCGGCGAGGATGTATTGCACTACTTCAAAGGGCGTTTCCTTGTATCGGAGGGCTTCTTTGGAAGACACGGGTTCCATTACAGACAGGATTGCGTTGCCTCCGTTGGCGATGTACCATAGCCCCAGATCGCTGGGAAGAGAGATGCTACAATTATAGAGCATGGTAGCATTGCTCATGTCACTGGGTTCTCCCAAGGATGTGCAGTTCCGATGAAGGTAGGAGGTGATGTTGGCACATTGCGCTTCAAAGCCCAAGCTGGCCATCGCATCCCAGGTACAGTTCCCGGTGGGACAGGTGTATTGGGGGACTGCCCATGAGCGCTTCGAAACTTGGTTTGTAAGGGAACTGTAGATGTTAGCTTTGAGGACAGGATCGATGTAGAAGACTGGTAGGAGTTAGGCGTCAGTCGATGCTATATGGAAGTTATCGCTCTTGGGGGTGTAATGGCACTTACGACTCCCTCCCATAAGCGGCCCAACCGTGTTGTACTTCACCGTCTTTCCGAGTAGGGAGACTTGAGAGCGGTCGTCAACGGGGCGAGAGACGTAGTGTATCGAATTCTGGACGAATGGCTCGAAGGCCAATGCCATGAGGACCGCCATGCTCCCCAGGACGGCGAAGTGACTACGCCGCGGTCAGGACCCAGAATGTCTTTCAGCTAGCTCTCCATGAAGGTCCGGTCACTCACCGACCCTTCAACACCCACAACAGCAGCGCACTTCCCTTGACTCCTCGACTGGCGGAATCAAAATGCCCCAGATCAGATAATGGTCGGCTCTGCTGAGCAAACCAAACCCATTTTAACTGGCCTATGCTTTCGCTGACTGCATAGAGGACGCATGCTTTAGCAAGAGTGCTGAGCCAGGAAATTGCTGAGTTCAGGGAGATATTCTTCCAGTCCGGCTGGCGACGTCCATCATAGCTGGCCAGGATCGCGATGATGGCGCCTATGGTAGCTCCAGCAAGAAACACGCCGCCTGTTTCCCATGACCAGGCTTGTATATCCTGTTTCAGTGACGGTCCCTTCTTCTTTGTCTTTGTTGCGATCTTCTCAGCTGACCGGCCATCTGAGCCTTTAGGTGTGAGAAGCGACAGTTGGCTCTCGCGTTCGTGATTATTGTTTTCCATATCCGATGGCTTGCTCTGTATATGTTGGTTTGTTATGATCAATATCGAAGCCCGGTAGAGGGAGGGAAATAACGCCCTTCTTACTACCTACTTGCGGGCATGGCCATCACCACCATCGGGAGGGCGGTTGCAATGAGGCTGAAGGAAATGACAAGGCTGCTTGCTTTCTTAATCACGGAAACGGTCTGGGCGCCGCCAGCTCTTGCCAGTCAGGTCGGTGGTCAGACCCCCTTTCCCTCATTCAGCCCAGTGCAGGAGTGTGAAGTCCGGGTGTTAGTCGGGAGTCCAATTGGCGCCCACCGACTAGCAGCTGAATCTGGGCCGCGATCCCATCGCGTTCTGAACCAATCATAAGCCGAGGATACGTTCAGATCCGAGGGCAAAGTTAAATTATGTGGCGGGGACGGAAGCGAGTTCGCCGTGATGGAACCTAGGTAAGATGAGGGTAGACATTTGTTATTGACACTGCATACCCCCCCGATACTCTTTCACCTAACCTCAGAGGAAAAGAAGCCGTGGATCGTTTTACTGTTTTTCGCTTGGCTTAAATGCTGGAAATCGTAAGATTCTTTTACATCACTGGACAGTTTTGGAGAAGGTGAACCCGAAGGGTTCTCTCAGCAAAATCCCATCTCAAATAAGCACAGCAGTGAGACGGAGCTACTACAGCCACATTGGCCTGCTTCTTGCCAGACCATGTTCGTATAAGGACTTAAATCCTTGCAATTCTCACGATAAAGATATCCTGAGGAATATTTATATTGATAACAGTCTAGTAGGGATAGAGTGGTTATACCTGACTATTATACCTTAACTATAACCTGACTGCAACCTAACAGTCAGCTTAAGATAAAAAAATGTTAGGGGTTGCTCCTTGGTTCCAAGAGTACATTGCCTGTTGGACAAGAAGGAATAACTAGTATTTAAATAAAGATTCTAAAATATCTGAGATTTTATATATATTAATTAATTAATAAACAGCTATAAGATTAAGTAATTAAATTTTTAATGAAATTTTAATTTATAATATTACCCCTTCCTTGATATATTATTAATTTAGAATACTAGTATATTTATAAATTAAAAATACAGAACTTCGACTTATAACTATTTTATTTTATTATAATATTATATTTTATTTTTATTTTTATAACTACTTTACCTGTGTTCTTATCATTATAATAATTCTAGTTTTTCTATTTTTTATTTATAATTTTTAAATATTATATTCTCCTTATTTTTCTTCTTTTATATAAATATTTAATTTTTATAAGAAAATTTTTTAAAATTTTTAATTATTTACTTAGTATAATTGTTATTATTATTTTCACGAAGCTTTATTCTCTAGTATGAATTTATATTATATTGATCTTCTAGTTATATAACTAGTCTAGCTTTTTATAAAAAAATTTTTTTCTTTTTATCTATGAGTAGAGGTTTTCTTCACCTAAACTAGATATTAAATTAACTAAGATTAAAAATAAATATATAAAAGGATATAAACTGTCTGAAATTAAAGATAAATATATATAGAAAATATAGACTTATTCATATATAAGTTTAATAAGAATAAAAAAATAAAAGATTATTTTTTTAATTTTAACAATTAAATCAGTATTATATATAACATACTTATACTGACCTTGATATTCTAGTTTATTTTATTATTTTATTTTATTTTATTTTATTTTATTTTATTTTATTTTATTTTATTTTATTTTATTTTATTTTATTTTATTTTATTTTATTTTATTTTATTTTATTTTATTTTATTTTATTTTATTTTATTTTATTTTATTTTATTTTATTTTATTTTATTTTATTTTATTTTATTTTATTTTATTTTATTTTATTTTATTTTATTTTATTATAATTATATTATTGGCAGGTCCGTCTCTTCTATAATCTATTTAATAAAATAAAAATATTCTTTTTTAATTATTCTTTAAGATCCGCGGATTCATCTTATTTAAATCTTAATAAATAAAAAATATATTTTCTCTACTCTTTTATCTTCTTTATTTTTTTTACTTTTTTTTATTTTCTTTTATTTCTTTTACTTCTTTTACTTCTTTTATTTTTTTAGATTATACTTATTTATCTTAGTATTTTTCTTTCCTGTAAAATATATAAGAAAATTCTCTTTTTTATGATTTTTCTCTCTCTTTTTCTTTTCTAGTATTATTTAATCTGTTATCTATCTGTCTTCTTCTATATTTTCTTGTATATTATTATTTTACTCACTGATTATTATTTTATTTATTTTATATTGTTTTTATTCTAACTTATTATATAATCTTTTATGTCCCGCTGCTATGTCTGTTATCCAATTTATTATTTTATTTCTGTTCTCTACTTAGCTTATTATCCTGGTTATTATTTTACTTATTAATATTCATAGAATCTTGAGATATTCCAGCCTTTCTATTTAATTTAAGTAAATATAATTTATATAAAATAATATTAATAAATTTTTATAATATCTATAATTTTTTTTAAATAGAACATAATATTATAAAAACTCGTATCATGCCCGCTCCTCTTAATTAAAAATCTATTAATTATATTGATTATCTGCTTCACTAGATTGAGTTAGAATTTATAAATAATAATGTATATTTCATTTATCAGATTTCTTTTAAATCTGGTATTATTACTGGTAATTCCTAAATTATTTTTAATATTAAAAATATATTAGGGATCATCCCTTGGTTCCAAGAGTACATCAGCTGTTGGACAAGAAGAATAACTGGTGTTTAAATAAGAGTCTAAAGATATTTAAGATTTTATATATATTAGTTAATCAGCAGGTGGCTATAAGACTAGATAATTAAATTTTTTAATAATAATTTATTTTATAATATTATCTTTTTTCTTAATATAATATTAAGTTAGAATATTAGTATACTTATAGACTAGAGAACTCAGAACTTGGATTTCTAATTAATTTATTTTATTATAATATTATATTTTATTTTCATTTCTGCAACTTTCCTGCCTGTATCTGTATTATTATTATAATTTTAAGTCTTTTATCTTTTATCTATGGCTTTTTATATATATATTCTACTTATTTTACTTATTCTATATAAATACTTGATGTTTATAGAAAATCTTTTTCATCTGTATCTTTTATTTTATTATTTATATAATATAACTTTTATGATTATATTAGCAAGGTCTTATTTTTTAATATAAGCTTATACTATATTCTAGTAGGAAAATCTTCACAACAGGACAACAGTCAAATGACATCTAATAAGTTTATAAATAATATTATTAAATAGAGCTTTTTACAGGAAATATAATAATATAATTCTTATTTCTTTAATTAATCATTTTATAGAGTGATAAGTATCTAAAAATAATAGTATTTTTCTCTAATTTTAATTGATATATATAATAAAAATTTAAATTGTGTTAATATTTTTTTCTACAGACTTTAAGCCTAAATCTAATTAAGTTTATTAAATATTATAAAAATAAATATTATAATAATAAGTATTACCCCAATAAGCATTATATAAAATAATATATTAATATTTTTATAATAAATTTTAAGAATTCTATATATTCTATAGTCTAGAAAGCTTAAACTATATATACTTGTTATTTAATATTAAGATATAATATTATTAATAAAGTAATAAAACTAAAGTAAATAAATAATAAGTAAAATAAATAAATAAAAATATAAATTATAATAAAAGAATAAATTATATTAATAGCTATCTAGATACTCTGGTAAAATAAAATAAAAGATTATTCATAGATAACCTGAGTATCTAGTATATAATTATATTTATTCTAATAATTATTTTAATATTTAATATTATTTATTTTATCTAGATTATATATTTTTAAGAAATATTTTTTTATAAAAATCTTAATATATAATAATCTATACACATATCTACAGTTATTTATAAGAAAGTAGAGGTTATGTAGTAAATAATAAATTATAAAAATAATAATAATATTAAAATAAGATAAAATAATCAAAAAAATAATATTATATTAATATATTTAGATCTGTGTGATTCCGCCGAGCCAGTAAAAAAGAAAAAAAAATAGTATTATAATTAATAATCTTATTATAATTCTTATATATAGGTAGTGTTCTTTCTACAGGAAATATAATAAAAATTAATAAATAAGTTCTTCCACGGTACAGGTCAAGAAAGTCCTCTGAGCTTCCAAAACGCCCATATCGCCGCTCTTCACCTTGGCCACCGCTCTTACAAATGACAATGCAAGACCGTCATCCCCCCCATCGTGACTACCTTTGGCAGAGGACATATTATACACCACTTCGGAGCCAGAGCAGAAGTCGCTCACACGAATAGTGGCTGCATCGTAAACAATCTCCCCTGTGGTACCTGATATACGTCCACGACGCCTGCTGATAGCGTCTGTGAGAGCGACCATATGGAACTGGGCGATTTTTGCAGGGCGGTACTGAGGCTCAGTGCCTAGGTTGCCTGTGTAAGACTGCTGCTTCAACGACAAAGAAGATTGTTTGGACTCACTCTTCAGTTTCTGAGGGAATAGTAGAAGTTCATCCTCCCACTCTATAGTGACCATTTGATCATCACACACATCGTTGTCGGATTCCCAGACACAGCGCCCATACCAGTTTCTCAGGCTAACCTGAGATGCTGGTGTTTTTTCATCATAGTCCTCACCTAGAACTTCCAATAAGCGCTTCGCTGCAGAAGGGAGTCCCTGGTTCCGAAACACATCCTCGATATCAGGAACTATTGCATTGACAGGACAGTCACGGTTGCCTGCCCTAAGATGCTGATGCAGATAGAGCGATTTAGCACTGTATTGACAAGTTGTCTCGACAGGACAGCTCAAGCAGTTAGTGGCTGAACCGGCACCGGAGGGCTTATTGGCTTGCCTGAAGAAGTGCAGGCGCCCTGAAGAAGTCACCTTTGAAGGGAGATGAGGCGGTTCGGGATTGGATGTAGAAGCCGGCGAATAGAGAAGCCAGAAAAGAAAATCGATGTCGTGGCACGACTTTGTGAGGAGCGACGGTGCGCTAGTGGATTCTCTGCGCAAGAACCTCTGGATATGATCAGCAACTGTCGCGATAATTTGTAGTCTAATTTGTGCGGAACATACCGCACGTAACAATGTTCGAAGTGCTTCCAGGCAACTGCTTCAGTGTGTTCAACACTGATAACATCACCAACCGCTCGATCCTCTCGAACAAGCTTCCGTAACATAACCTGGGGGCGGCTATGCCGTAAAACCAAGCCAACAGCAAAGATTGCTTCAGTCTGCAACATCTCCTATGATTTCAAGAGAGTCCCATAAATACAAAGAAGGTCACTCAGCCGCGTTGCTAGCGGCTTCTCACACATAATATGTAGCCCCAGTGGTGCCACAGCCTGGACAACTGTTGCATGAAGTTCATCCAATAGGCATACAAATACTGCATCTATCCCTGGGTCCGTCACCGTCCCTGTCAAGCGTTCCAACTCTCTTCGATTGACTTCATAGCTGATGAAATCCTCCCAGCTAGAAAAAGCCTGGCCTTCAAGTGGCTTACCTGTCCCCCAGATGAACCTTTCGCCGAATGCTCGCCTCTTGAATTCAGATGGCTCAGCTACTGCGGCGACAATGCCTTCGCCAGAACTGTGAATTGGCTCAGCGTAAGAATAGCCACGGTATCCTGCGCCTATTATGAGAATTCGTGGTTTTGCTCCCAAGTGGCAGCTTTTCTGGGATGTGGTAGGTACGGCTATAGGGCCCTTGGGCCTTGTATACCGAAACAACTGCATGATCGCGGACTTGCCTCTGCAATGGTAATGAAATGACAATGAAATGAAAAGGTCTGGGGATTGGAAAATTGAGACTGCAGGGAGATGATAGATTTTGAACACATTGGAAGCCGCCATTTATCATAAATTTGCGGTCCTCGGCTTACTACCCCTGGCCCGCATATTCCGAATTTTGCTTTCCGATTTTACTATGCAGGTATTCGCAGTAGTCTAGAGAGCCATTAAACCGGCAAAAAATTACGGCTTTCTACGGAATGGTTCTGGCTACCACAGAAATCTGGTGTTCAGTACCGTATAAATAACAAAGTACGGTCGAGTTGAAAATATATTGGATATGCCATTTTCACGCCAGTGAGTCAGGGAATTCGGAGAATGCCGGCCAGAGGTAGTAAGGCCAGAGAGAACCTATTTCTGGGCCAAGTATACAATTGGTTTAGCCTGATGCTCATCTGGTTCTAGACTCTGGTTATGAGGTATATTTCTCCAATTAAAATTGAGGCCATGACTGGTCAAACTTCGGAACTGGCGTGTTGATTGCGCTACTGGCTTTACTGCTTCCCTTCAATAATAAGTTAGTCTGTGCTTATATGAACAGTCGTAACAAAAGTCCAGGATCAAAAGGCTCACCGTGCGTTTTCATGGACTGATCTATAAAAAGCTTTCCTGATCAGCGTTGAAGTGATTGATGAAAATCTTCAACGTGACTTTTACACTGGCTGTCCATGACGGGTGGCGGTTAAAATGAGAAAACAAATGGCAAATAAGGAGTTGTCTAGCCTCCTACAATTTTCATGTTGGTTGTCGCGAATAAGATACCTTTAGGGACTACAGTGCCGCAGACGACATCTACTGGGCAAATCATCTCATGCATCATGCATGAGGGCACGCAATCTCTTGGTTAGGCAATCTCACGCCGCTAACTAGAAGCAGTAAAAGTAGAAAGTGACTAGCGCAGACCGATTGTTGCTTCATGACAGATAACTTTCAAAATAAGCTGGCCTTTAGCCAAAACTAAGATTTTTATGAGGAATAGGATACGTCTTTATTCCTATGTATTGATTTTTGCCATCGCAATTTCCTCGCTGAACCAAAGCTAAGCTTTACTTTATGAGCTTGTTCCGATGTTTTCAACCACCGAGCGCGCCTTGGTTTTGATCTCCCGCCTGGAAGGATCCTCTTAGATATGGGTGCTAAGAGGGGACTGAGGAGGCTTAGAGAGTATAGGGTCAGCTGGGGAGTGGGGCCGCTTTCAACCTCTGTTTGCGTCAATTACCCCTGTATATACCACTTTTATTAAATGTAACCTCAATTGCGGAGTACAAACACCAGAGAAAGGCATGTTCAACTCCAGGAAAGCAGAGGTTCACATGTTACATGAGATTCAGCGGGAAGTGGACCCGCTTTCAGCCTTTCCGATAGAGTTTTATTCTTAACCAGTAATCTTCTAATTTATATCAACTACCCCTGTATACACTATTCTAAACAAATGTAACCTCAATTACGGAGTACAGAACTCCGTGGTAAGCCTTGCTGGATTCCAGAAAGGAAGAGGACACCGGTCTGCCGATAGATTCAGCACGTAATTACCACGCCCCTGACCTCGTACTCAGCAGATCCATTTCTTGTATATGTGTCTCTCTAAAGAACCTCGATTCTATCAAGTGCCTCATAGTATCGCTAAGTACAACTTGGCAATCCAAGATTGAGTCATTATGCAGAGGCCTACTGAGCAAAAAACTCTAGAACAAGAGCCCCTAGATGAAAATCTGCCGGAGGGTGAAGAGGAACGGCATATCCATGGAATCAAAGTAAGTGTGTTTAGATTGTAATTGAAATTGAGATGTTACTGACAGCTGTAGTGGTTTCTTTTGGTTGCTAGCACGTTGACAGGCAGCTTCATCTATGCTCTGGATAATACCATCGTGGCTAATATTGCACCGGTTTGTTAGTTCAGAATTGCTGCAAGAAGGAAACTCTGACAAATGTAAAGGCTATCGTTAATCATTTTGGTGCGGTCGAGAATTTGCCGTGGTTATCAGTTGGGTAATTTTTAATATGAAAGGTTATATTGATGAGCACCTCTAACAATGCCCGGGGGGATAGGTTTATGATCGGTGGAGTGGCAATGGTTCTTATTTACGGCAAGCTATACGCTCTATTTAACTCGAAATGGCTGTATATCACGTCCACTGTTATCTTTATGGCTGCCTCTGCACTCTGTGGCGCCGCTCCTTCCATAAATGCTGAGATCGTTGGACGCGTTTTTGCAGGCGCAGGTGGAAATGGAATGTACTTCGGCATTCTAGAACTTCTATCAACGAATACCACGAGCCGTGAGCGTCCGCAATATTTGAGTTTGACGTGAGTGAGAGCCCTCTACGTGAACTTGACGACGGACTTGTTGACAAGGACACAGAGGTCTAGTTTGGGGTTTAGGAACCGTCCTTGGTCCCGTCGTTGGGGGTGGGTTTGAAAAGTATACCTGGCGCTGGGCATTCTACATTAATCTCCTTTTCGGCGCCATTCTTATACCGACCTACCTTCTTGTGATTCCGTCCAATGATCCAGCACCTGAAGTGCCCTATCGACAAAAGCTTTCTAGTTTTGATTGGGTTGGTAGCTTACTGAACGTTGCTGCATTTGCAACCCTAGTGATGGCAATTAACTTTGGCGGCACTCTATATGCCTGGAATGGTGGCCAAATCATTGCTTTGTTCATAGTGTCAGGGACACTTTGGATCTTATTCGGCATCCAGCAAGGTTTTACTATTGCCAGCTCCCTACAGGGTCGGGTACTGCCAATGCATCTTTTCAGGCAGAAGGAACCGACCCTACTATTTTTTGCTTGTGCTGCAGTAGGAATGGTGACATATCCAACTGTGTACTACATACCCATCTACTTCCAGTTCACTCGGGGCGATGATGCAATCCAATCTGCCGTCAGGTTGCTTCCCTTTATCTTTATATTGATTGTGGCCATTCAGTCAAATGGCGCATTAATGTCTCGCTTTGGTTATTATAAGCCATGGTACTTACTCGGAAGCATAGTAGCCCTGATTCCAGCAATTCTGATAGGTTAGGTGATAATTCTTCTTTGTGTCTCTGTCAAAGCTAATCAAAACATAGCTACTATTATCCAAGTCCACACAAGACCGGCCATTCTCTACGGACTTGAAATTGTGATTGGATTAGGCGCCGGTTCATATACTCAGGCAGCCTTTGCTGTGATCCAGGCCGTCGTAGCCCCCTCCGAAGCTGCCGATGGTCTTACTCTTATGCTGCTAGGTTCGTCTAATCCAGTACTTGTTTCGGAAAATCTCTTACAATGGACCAGCTCAACTCCTTGGAATGACCCTTGGACTATCCATCACCGGTGCAATTTTCGTTAACGTCGCCCAAAATGGCCTTTTCAAGTTGCTTCCCAACCTACCCCGGGAGCAGGTTTCTCAAGTTGTCTCGGGAACCAGCAGTGCGCTACTAAACGAACTTCCAGATACTGTTCGAGAACGGGCGTTGGATATAATTGTGCACGCTTGGCGCTATCTGTAAGTGGGGTTCTTCGCTCATCCTTTCTTGTGGTATATATAAGCTGATATCTTAAGATTTGCTTGTGTGAGCTTTGGGGCTGGAGTCAGCCTGCTTTGCGCAGTGTTTATGGCAGTGAGTTTGTTTTCCCTGGAAATCTGTGAGGACAAAATTAACTTTTCTATAGAATAAACGTGCGAACATGTTGCCTGCTGCAGGCGGGGCTTGACCTTTACTTGATTTTTGCACCTTGTGTACCGCAGGGTATATCCTGCAAGTTGCATTATCGATAGGCTAATGTCTCTGAATGCTCTTGTACTGGGGAACAGCGTTTTACATGTAATTGCTTTACTCTCAGAGCAGCATTGCTGACTGAGTTTGACTTGTATTTGGAGGCGAAGCCATACATGAAGCATGGACATAGTTTTGCTAAATACAAACTTATTTAAAGTAATAGTTAGCGTAGCTTAGGCAGGCACTTACCTGTTGAACCCTAGTATCTAGTTTTTGGTATTAGCTGGATTATTTGCTCCCGTTCTTTTCCGCTGTAGAGTGTGCCCGAATATATATTCTCGGATGACCGTATTGAACCGACAGGCCAGCGCCAGCACCAGCCCTATGCACTAGTCTGGCGGGTCGTTGGTAAATTGATAAGAAATTGGGGATTCAAGCACCTTACCGTGGAGAACAATACGTACTTGCTTGTGGTACTTATATGATTGCTAGCCGTTTTAGTATTGTTTGTAAACACACGTGGGAAAATAAACGACGCGCCAGCTCTCCTACTGGACGGACAATGGCGGCTGAGAATACGAAGGCAACTATAGGCCAAATGGGAAGAATCCTGTTCTGAACAAAGCAATGGAATTTAAAATCCCGTGCGGATTTGACTTGTCAATTGTATTCCACCACTAAATTTTCAGAAAGTATGCTATAAGACGATGACGAGCGACAAGAGTCAAAGCCCCATCATTCAATTCTCCTGACCGTCACATCACCCCTGAAACAATCCAACCCCTTCAGGGAGCCATCGTCCTGCACAGTCAACGTGCCAACCTCTTTCCCCGAGGCGTCCACAACTGTCGCGCAGTCGCCCTGTTTCGTCTGGTACAGCCTGACCTCAGGCGCTTCGCACCAGTCATACGCGAACCCTCCCTCCCCTTCCTCCTTGCCCATTACTATCACCGCCCCCTCGCGCACGTATATGGGAAGCGTGCCGAAACCATGCTTTTCACGGCGCCACCCTGGCCCAGAGACTACTTTCTTCTCGTCCCACAGGCTAGTCCACTGACCTTCTGGCAGGTAGAACTCGACCTCACCGTGTTCGGTGAAGACGGGCGCGACGAGCAGATTTTCGCCGACAAAGAACTGCCGGTCACACGCAGCCCACGCGGTCGGATCATGCGGGAATTCAAGTGCTGTGGCGCGCAGGCTGAGCGGCCAGCCCATGCGCGTGCTGTGCACGGCCTGTGTATACAGGTAGGGCATAAGGCGCCGTTTAAGTCGGACGAATGTACGCAACACCGCCGTCGAGCCCTGCGGCCCTGCATCGTCATTGTCAATGAGCCAGGGAACACGATACGAGTCAGACCCGTGCAGGCGCGAGTGGGAGCACAGCAGCCCGAATCCCACCCACCGCTTGTAGATCCAGGGTGGCGGCGTACCCTCGAACCCGCCAATGTCGCAGGACCAGAAGCTGAAGCTCGACAGGCCGATTGAGAGACCTCCACGTACGGACTCGGCGAGAGCCGCGGGGGTAGATTCGCAGTCGCCCCCCCAACACTGTGAGTTGCGTTAGCACATAGATACAGAATCTGACGAGGTAATATAATGGTCCAAGTAGCAGATGCTTACCAAGGGGAAGCGCTGTACACCGGCACATGCGCTGCGGGCGAACAGGACGGCCTGTCCATCCCCGTACCTCCGCGTCAGGGCATTGTATACGATTTTGTTATAGATAAAAGCGTAGTAATTATGCATGCGCGCTGGGTCGACACCCTCATCATGCCACTTGACGCCCTTCGTCGGTATGCGCTCGCCAAAATCAGTCTTGATAGAATCAATGCCCACGTCAAACAACCGCTCCAGACAGCCTTCATACCACCTGACGGCCTCCGGGTTGGTGAAGTCAACGAGCCCCATGCCGGTCTGCCAGAGGTCCCACTGCCAGACATCACCGTTGGTGCGCTTGAGAAGATAGCCCTTTTCGGCAGCCTCCAGAAACACTGGAGAGGCCTGTCCTAGGTACGGGTTGATCCAAACACAGACCTTGTTGGTCAGACCCGCGTGCTTGATACGCGCGATGGATCCCTTGGGGTCCGGGAAGTGATCAGGGGAGAAGACAAAATCACACCAGTGGAATGCGCGCATCCAGAAGGAGTCATAATGGAAGACCTCGACAGGAATCGAACGATCTGACATCTGCTGGAGGAAGTCGGTCACGGTCGCCTCGTCGTAGTTTGTTGTGAAGGATGTCGTCAACCACAGGCCAAAGGACCATGCGGGGACCATGGGTGCGCGGCCAGTCAAGACTGAGTATTTTGTCAAGACCTCCTTGGGCGATGGACCGTAGATAATATACCATTTGAGCCGCTGGCCCTCGACACTGGTCTGCACTCGGCAACATCTCTCACTACCTATCTCCAGGTCGACTTTTTCCGGAGTGTCGATAAAGACGCCGTAGCCCTTGGAGCTCATCCAAAAGCTGACATTCTTGTACGCCTGGTCCGAGCTGGTGCCGCCATCCTCGTTCCAGATCTCGACATGCTGACCCAGGCGGTTGAATGGCCCGAAGCGTTCACCGAGTCCGTGGACAGACTCGCCGATGTCAAGCTCAGTCTGCGTGAAGATGTAGTGCTTCCTGCTTCCGGACTGACCTTGCACGAGATCCTCAACCTGCTTCCCATTGCTGATCGGCGGGTCGTACGCCAGGCCAACGCTCCGGTTGAGTAGACTGGTGATTTCCCGGTCGTAGTCGTCCGAAGAGTGAAAGCGGATCGAGAAATCGTGCTGGTCTGGACTGACCGTTACGCTCAATGCGCCCGACTTCAGTGTAGTTCCTCTCTCGGACTTCGAGATGCCAATGCGCTCCTCACTGAGTTTGCGCCCCTCGCCATCTGGAAACAACTCGAAGTCAGGCGTACCTTTCCTGGCACCAAGCCAGTGTTGGACTTCCAGAGAGATTACACCGTCGAAGTGCGACTCGAGGTTGATGTGCAGGGTGCTGAGGTTCAGGGTGTTGCCGCGCGAGAAGATGTGGCGGGTCGGACAGAGCAGATTCAGCGAGCGGTTGTCAGGCGAAGCGTTGATAGAGTAGATATCCTCGGCATATTGAAGCGACTTGGAGGGGTCGACCAGCCACATTCCTGAAGTCTGTAGTTAGCACCTACTTCACTATACCCTTCGTCGAGGATGATCTTTTGCTCAAGCTCCCCCGACAAGGTCCGCTACTCACCATCGCGGAACCGCATGTTTGCCGATTCAACTGTAATTTTCTTCTGGCGTCAGTGAGTGCAAAAGACCTTCAGACACGTATCAAAATATCCAGACAATCGTGGTTAGCAAATGGAACTCACCTCTCGATGAAGGGGCCAGCTTTATAGCCCTGCCCGGGTAAATAGGCATTCTCACAACTTTGCAATTTACATGATATCTCTTTACCCAGTTTAACGGATATATCGTCGACCGATCCGTGGAATTAGGCTAGTGTGTCTGCCAAGAAACCGTATATATTAAAGCGGGGTGCCTCCCGGTTGGTTATATTGGGCATAATCAGACGGAGTTCACAAGTGCTCCGACAGGCTCCAACCAGGTTCCCCCTCGACTTTAGCCAGATAGACCACACCAAATCTGCCACCCACGCCATCACGCATCTTTTCGTATACCGAGCGGGGTTATGATCGAGCAAAAACATATTTTTGGCGACCAAATAGTCTTGTCCAATTCTGGCCGAAAGGGTGTGCTGTTCCTTGCAGTCATTGTGGCTGGATCTGCACTATATACTAGATAGCAGGTCTAATTGTAACAGGAGCTAGAAAGCCAATTAAAAATATAAGAAAAAGAAGAAAAAGAAGATAGAAAAAAAGATCAGACTGAATAATACAGTAGAGCGCAGCATAACAGGTCCTTGTCGGCACAGTCAAAGTGGAATAGTCCCTAAATTTCACAGATAACATAAAATAACTAGTAAATATGACTAACTCATACTTGAGAATCCTACATATTGGTGAGCCCTATTCCACTAAGTGTGACAACCAGTCACATGCCTGCCATTTAGTGAATTGAAGCTTATAAGAGATGCGTGTTCTGAGTCTGTTAACTTAAAATTCTAGTCTTTTATTAAATAATTTAATAAATAGATAACTAGATGATTTATACCTGAAGTATACCAGACATGATTATAATATAATTTCAAGTTATCCAGTCATAGATTTAATTCCTGTAGAAATGTTAGGGGTCGCCCCTTGGTTCCAAGAGTATGTCGCCTGTTGGACAAGAAGGAATAGCTAGTGTTTGAACAGGGGCCTTAGGATATCTGAGATTTTGTATATATTAGTTAATCAATAGGCAGCTATAAGACTGGATAACCAAGTCCTCTAATAGAGATTTATCTTATAATATTATCCTCTCCCTTAGTATAATATTAAGTCAGTCTAGTAGGGAAAACTTCACAACAAGACAACAGTCAAATGATGTCTGATAAATTAATCAGTAGTATTATTTAATAAAACTCTTTACAGGGAATATAATACTATAACTTTTATTCTTTTAATTAAATCATTCTGTGGAGCTATAAGTATTTGAAGATAGTAATATTCTCTTTTAAATATGATTAATGTATGTAATAGAAATTCAATCAGGTTAGTGTTACAGACTCCTGCTAGTTGAGCTACTAGCAAGACAGACTTACCAGGCAGAAAGCACTGATAATAGCAGTATCCAGATAATCAGCAACTCTTATTAAGGAGAATCTTGGTTTAAATATATAATATCCAGAACAGCCATGCATCACGTGACTACAGGTATATAAAATAATATATAATTAAATATATAATATATAATCTACAGTATACAGAAGGGTATATAATATGGTATATAAAAAATAAAATATATAAAAGTATTTTTCTATATATGTAATTAATTCTATTCTTCATGTTTAATAATATTATTTTTAAATAATTATATATTTAAAAGCTTAGCTACAGAATGATTTAACATCATCCAAATAGATATGTCTAAGGGCAAACCTGTTGCGCGGTACGACGTTCATTATGTATCGGGATTATATTCATGCAACGGCAAATTCCCTGCCATGATGCCAGAGTATTCGCATCGGTCCCAACCGTCGAATTGTGGGCTTGGATCACCGCAAATCGAAACGACTGCCTGTCTCATTCTCGCGCAGCCTCCTTCGATGTCACCCAAAGTAGTCACACATATGGTAAAACTTTGCATGAATTGGCCCATCCTGGTTGTGGGCGAACCTTGGATACTTTGCAGAGAACGCGTTGATTTCATCTATAAGTAGGTTGGCCTGATTGCTGTAAACTATCAACAAAAATCTTGATATGACTGACAAAGTCGGTAGATCAGTTCCGTCTATAGCTCGTCAAAGGTATAAAAGCTACGAACACGGCGGCGATCATGCCTTTCTGGCAGGAATATGAGTAGAATTCGTTGTGCATTTGTCTGACTTTCAATTCCTTCCAAATTGGGCGAGTAACCAACCAAGGGAATCGAAGTATGTCGGCACTCACGCCGTTTCGAGAGGTTCGATAAGGGGTCGCAGTTACGAATGCATCTTTTTGCTTAGTAACACAGCTTGAGGTAACTAAGTGAGACCCAAATAAAGAGGGAGGGGTTATCTGCTGAAACTATTTTCCTGCGGTCATTGGTTGTCATCTCACTGTGGGCTTGGGATGTCAAGGGCCCTTGCTTGTCTACATGATTTTCAGAGGTCAAAGCAAGTTGTGCTTAACGCAAGGGATCCAGCACACGAAGCCGCAATTGCCGCTCCATCACCTGCCCCATGTCGTCGTTTGCAAAGTCCGTCCCAGGCAGGGGATCGTCAAATGTATTCCTGACTTGGCGGTGAAAGATCCTTGTACTACCTCTTGATGCGAACAACAATCTAGCTCCAGAGAATCGGCCGTAGATGGAGAAGTACGGATACCGCAGTTATCTACGTAAGAGAATGTATTCCACAGATAGCCACGTCCAATTGACAAATGCCTACCAACGTTATTCTTCCTGGCTGCTGAGGCGAACTGACAGGGAGGTACTTGCCACAACATCAATCTGACGGAAAACCCTTTACCCAATATTACTGTACCTGCAGTTACAAGGACACACTCAATTGTGGTCGCATTCCTCACCTGTTTTCCTGAGTATACGTATAGCATATACCTTTACGCACCTCATTCCATGCGCCTTTCCATTTGAGCAAATTATTAGTCATCATCCTTCGCTCGCTGAGTAGAAACGTCTAGGAAATTCTCATTTTGTGCCCTCTCTTAATACAATATTTAGAGGTACGCAACGATTTGGCTCATCATGTCTCAACTCTGTCCCTCTCCATAACGGAACTGTGTATATTATACACGTAACTACCTCTGAACTGTTGACGGAGTCCTGCATAGGACCGGGGTAAGTGCTTTAAGACCTTTCGCGAGCCTGCTCAGCTTGCCTTAAAGGCCCCGGTATTGTTTCCCTCAGCAGCGTGCGGTTCCTTGCTAAGATACTTGTTCCCCGTTGATTTTTACCATACTTTTTGTGGTACGTCTACTCACCGTTCTTGGACCAGTCACCCCTGTAACGTTATAATACATTCGTACACTCCTACATGAGAAATGTGGCAGCTACGTGGGTACCTTCAAAAATAAATTTGACCAAGTGAGTCGCTGCAAGGCTGCCCAACGTAAGTGGCCAGACCGCTGTTCCAGCCCATGGGAAATTCCCTTGCACAAACCTTTCAGATTAGCCAGGCTGGTAATGAAATTGAGCCTAATATATAGGGAGTCATCTCCTTCACGGGGTTTCGAGCTTCTCACCTCTTCATATGTGGTAGAAGCTTCGCTCCGGCATTATTTGTGTTTGCCCTCACAATGACAACTGTATCTCTCGGCCAGGCTGAGGATGGAAGCCACCCAGCCTGGCCACAGGATGAAGTTACGAGTTCTTTAGTCAGACGGGTGGGGTTCTCGCCAATCTATTCTGCGGCCGATTTATCTTCTTTCTCACTTGAGGGCTATTGCGATCCAATGGTGATAGGGGGTAGACAAGGAGAAATCCTGGCTCCTCCTTCTACGATAGTGACCGATACTGTGATCGGGGACAGCAGGGAACCTTCTTGGCCGGAGCAATACCTAGACCTCATCGCACCGAACAACCTACTGTACCTGGAAGACTTCGCTCAAAACCAGTCACATTCTGCTAATCTCGTGGAAGCCTCGACTCTGACCACAGTGGGGTTGGACTCACAGGAACACTCTCTTCCAAACCAATTTCTATAGAGACGTGGCTTGGATGGATGCCTGGGTGATGAAGGTTACGAGAGGACCACCGCAGCTGTGGTTGTTGGAGGACGGGCCGATTCAGGAACATATGTTTCGAGGTTTCAGGAAGTGCCAATGCCTTCTTATGATCACGATATTTCACCAGAGGATGGGCTATATCACTGCCAAGATCGCGCATGCGTGGCCCAGACTGGCTTTTCAAGAAAATGTGATTTGCAGTAAGCTACGCCACCACTTTCTCAATTCATCCCGCTGACTCTTCACAGAAAGCATATGCGCAGTCACGTTAAGCCAGTTAAATGCCCCATATGTACGGTAACCAAGGCTCAGCAGGTTCATATGCGCCGACATATGGAAGTGCATCACGGTGGATGGGCTCGGCAATGGTGGCAAGTGGGAGTTGTGTGTGAATTATGCGGTAAAACATTCACAAGGAGAGACAATCTTCGGAGACATCACCGAAGTCAGCATGAAGATTTTAGTAGCCTATCTGTATCTGATTAAGGAATCTCGTCTGTGGGGCCTATGCTCTGTCGAGTTTATGAACGTTCTTGAATGGTATTTTAGATCCCCTCCAAGCTAACGTCTGGTATGAAGCAGAAGTACACTCGCCTCCATCTTGTAATTAAGGTTCTAATGAGAATCTGCGATTACGTATTTCAATGAGAGCAGAAAAGGTATGAAATTCCAAGAAGTCAGAAAAAGAAACCAAATCAACTTGCGAGTTAAAATCAAAATACCACTTTAGATCTTGAGAGATACCCCGCCACAGTCGGCATCAGAGTCTTCATCCGACACGTATGTCCTGAGCTTATTTGTCTCAAGAACCTTCGCCGTGCTACGTTCAGTTGTCTCCTTTTCCAAACTGACATCAGCAGATGAATATCGGAACGTATTTTCCCGAAGCTCCTCCAAATCTATGCGAGACCACCGGTCACTTGAAATTGCTGTCTGGG